AATTTAAAGTCCATATAGAACCATAACTTTGTGTGGTACCTTAGAGAGATTTTTAAAAGGTCCCAGGCTCAAATAATCAGGCATGGTAGGCCCCTTTACTTCTTCATGGGGGAATACTGTGGTGGTGTCAGGTGCCTTTTAGATCAGTACAAGGTGTATGCAAATGTACCTGCACAGACTCCAGAGAAGAATCTGCCAAGCAGGATCATCTCAAAGGATCCAAATACCTTGCTGAATCCCATCAGAGCTGCACCAAGGAGGGCAGGGATGTTGACGAACAGCATGGCTTTCTTCCTGAAATTTGTATGAAAGAAACTTGAGTATAATGATACTGAGCGTGTCATTCCCTGACCGTTCAACAACAGTTACATGTTTAATCAGCTAAAGATTCTGGGATGCATTTCACTGTAATAATACCATACTCACAACCAACTTGAGCCTAGAAGGCATGGGGAAAGAACAACTGTCTTTCACAGAGTGAAAAGCCAGCTGCAGCTTTTGAGAGCACTGTTCATGTGTGCCGTGCTGCAATATGAGTCTATATTTAGATGGGAGGATGAACTTTGGTAAACCACTGGTAAAGGTGAGACTATCTCATAAGGATCCCGCTTGAAGTATCCCCTAAACTCAACCTGGCTTCTTTGAACATTTCTATTGAAATTCCTAATGGATAAGATTAAATTTTTCACCTTACTGCCATTCTGAACTACTTCCTTTCTTTATGGCAGAAGCTTATGGTGCTTTGGGTGAATCATGATAAAGGACATTGGGGTCTGCAGCCAGCCTGTTTCCTTTAGGACATGAGTCACTTGTTTTTGCAGTCACTGGAGTAAGTAGAAATAGACTCATACAAAGATTTGTCTTACCTTCCGAATCGAATAGAAAAATATCCAGCATACGTGGAGCCCAGCAGCCCCCCGATACTGTAAATGGACACGATGGAGGACCACAGTAATGTGACTCTCTTGTCACTAAGAGGAAAGCTGTATCTCTCCAGCCAAATCTCACTGATGAAGCTCTTAATGTGCTTGGAACGAAAACAGAAAGAATTGGATTTGATCAACTTTTCTTCTTTTGAATAACATATTCTCTTTATTTCATGTAGTCATGACACCTGGGGTGAAATCATGGGCCCAGTGAAAATGATGGGACTTTTGTTGTTTACTTCAGTGGTGCCACCATTTCATCCACAAAGTGCAAAGAACAGTAGTAGATATCAATATTAAATATGAGTTATATATATTGTTGGGCAAGTAGTGACCTGACCTCTGTTAATCTGATAAACTCTCCTTGTTTTGTTATCTGATCTTTCTAACCACTCCCGCTTCTCTGTTTTATCCACCTGTTATATTCTGTCTGACGCCTTGGATGAAATCCAGGCTGTGCTGAAATCCATGGCAACATTTCCATAAATTGAAGTGGGTCCAGGATTTCTTCCCTTGACTCTTTGCTTTCTAAAGGCAAATTCTGTCCTCTTTATTACTTGACTGTCCAGTACACAGCAGAATAAGGACCTGCTTCTTGCTTGGGGTTCCTACATGCTACTGTAAAACTGGTGATAAGTAATAAAGTTCAAGTTTAAATGTTGATATCTTTCTAAGTCCCTTTCGCAGTCTCACCTACCACACTAATTTTCTTTTTCCAAAGGCAAGTACCTTGCTCCTGCCCCTTGATGCCAGTGTCATACCCAGTTCTGATCCTAAAACTTTTTGCACCTATGACCAGCACTTAGCTAAAAAGATGAAATAAAATTGGATACAAGGGACCTTATACTTCACGAGAGAGGAAAAGGCCATGCACTGTAGACCAGTGATTCCCTTGGGAGCTTTTGAAGGGTGCCATGGGGGTGCCACGCAGTATTAGCATTGCTAGGTGTGCAAACATAACTTCCGAGATAAATCCGGAGATTTTAAATAGGAATCCATATTGTTAAAAACACTCTCACCTGTTGTGGTCTTTCTGAGTTCATAGTGACAGAAGAATTGCTCTATTATTTTTCTATAGTGAAAAACCAAGTGAAAAGTAAGACCTGGCATTTTCCAAGGGGTGCCTTGAGTCTACTGAGGAGTGCCTTGAGTCTAGAAAAGGTGAGAAACGTTGATCTAAAGGTCTGGTCGAGGGCTGAGGAATGGAAAAGTGCCCACTGCTATGAATTCCCCAGAGCCTTCCTTTACTTTCCAGCTCAGTGGTAGAAAAACTATGATGTTTACCAGGGCCACAAGTATTGGAAGCAGAAGCCAAAAGTGTTCTGAGACAGGCCAGGAGAAATGGGTGAAAGAATCTGGATTGAAAAGCTATTTGTTCATTTTCTTTGCAGTTTTTGCTTACCTCAGCAGGAGGGTTTATGATCGAGACTTGTAACCCATACTGGAAAGTCCCACCGATGCCAAGGACAAAGGCCAAGAGCAAGAGATTCCAGCTGATCGTCTGTCAGGGAGATACAAAACATAGGGCTTGTCGGGCTATTCAGTCACATTCAGAATAATGGCTCTTTCTGCTACAGTAACCCCTGACCACAGAGTACCAGCAGAAGAAATCCCTGCTTAGGAGCCAGGAGTCAGGAGGCAGCACAGGGCAAGTAAAGCTGGGTACTGAAGGAAAGAAAGAAGTGTGTGAAAATCTCTGGGAAAGTGAGTAAGCCTTCGGTGGTGTCATGTTGCCTCGTGTCACACTTCAGTGCTTTGGTCTTTGGTTGCTTAAACTCTGGTAAAGGGTCAACAGAGCTGTGAGTGTTTTGTAATACCCAAGCTGCTGGGCACCCTGGGTAGGCTTGAAACACAGCTTCTTTCCCCCCTTCCTCCAGCTGTCTCATGCACTTGTTATCTTACTTGACTGTTATGTTCAGCAACCTGAATGAAAGGAGAAAATGTCTGAGTGGGCCTAGCCTGGTTTCATGGTTAGGAAGGACATTCCTGATTTTGATGGGCTATAGGAGTTTTAAGAAATATCTCAAATACAATTTTGTGAGAGAAGTATCATCTCTTCTTTCTCGACGGCAATTATTGTGGGTCCTCATGATCCTGTGCCCTGATGATAAAATGCAGCATTTATATCTTACAGGACAGATCCTTGCAGATGGCAGTGTCCAGCAAAGGCTGTAAAACTAACACAAAGTAATTTATAATTTGAAGAAGTTTCTGCTTGAAAACAAAGTGAGCCAGATTCATCCATGGTGTAACAATGCTGACTTCAGTGCAGTCACATCAAGAATGACTTTGGCACTTTGTTCATATATTAGACCCTGATGCTCTCCTGGTTGGTAAAGACATAGGATGGATTGTGGTTTATAATGTCTAACATCAAGTTTCTCCCACACTACTGGTGTCACAAATTAAATAACTCTTCACCAGGAGCCCCACCATCAGGAGGAAACTTCTTAATTACAAACTTATCTCTAGCATATTTTCTAGAGCTTTGATCAGTCTGTTTTACAAATGCCATAATGGGTGGCTATTCTAGTAACAGATTTCATTTTAAGGAAGGTTTTTCTTGATAGTCATCCTACAATCCCTTTTTTCCCTCCTACTTTTATCCTATTTTTTCTTGCTATGCTCTCCTATGCTACTCAAAACAAATAATTCCTTTCCATCTTTTGGTTTTGATCTTTCATGGAAAGTATAGATCATTAACTTGTACCATACAAGTTAATGTATGGTACTCATACTCATCCAAGTTATTTAGCCCTTTTCAGTCTTCTTCATAGATCAATTATTTAGGCCACATAGTTACTTTCTCTCTGATCACCTCTGGCTAGTCTTCATCTGTTGTATCTCATTGCTTTAAAATGGAAGAGTACTCTCAAATCCATTCTTCATTACTACTTTTAATAATTCTCTGTGAAACAAAACAGTGATATATTTGATTTCTCAGATCTGATCTTATGACTTCTACTGTTATTTTAACTGTATTTGATTTCAGATAAGTGGATTGGTTTCCCCACCCCTGTACTGAGCTTATGCAACAAGGCTTTAGAAGAGCAGAATGGAGTAAAGGATGTATTGCACAAATTATATTTGGGAAAAAAGAGAAATGTATACCGGCTTGAATGGCAAGGTAGGCATCTCAGCTTGTCAGTCAGGTCTGTCTTGATGGTTTCTTTAGTTCTGGGACCAGTCACACTTTATATAGAGAGGAGTTTTAGATAACATTTTAATGCCTCATCCCTCCCTCCTTCTGTTTGTCTCTCTCCCTTTCTTCACACCCTCTCTACCTTGGCACAAAGTTCTTGATACGTAGTTTGTCATTATCACAGTGGTTACTGATGAAACTGCCCATAATTTTGATGGGTCATGACCCATCTGCATCCATGCCAGGTCAGGGAATTAGGGGCATAAAGAAAGCTGACAAGCAATAAGCCATTGGAGGAAATGAGTCAAGGGCAATAAAATGGGCACTGATGAAAGGCAAAGTCCAGAGACTGGTTTAAGCTGGAATAGACTGGCTGAGACTTTAATTGCAAGATGTCCTAAGGTTTTGCCTCTGATGTTTTCTTGCTTTGGATAATGAGTCAGCACCTTTTAAAGCAATAATTATTAGGAACATAGAATGGGAGCTGTGCCAGCCTGCAAGAGCTCTTTGCAAAAGTGGACAATCCCTGGATTTCTCTGCTAAAAAGGGAAATCTGTGTTTTCTTTGATAAAAACAGGGAATCCATGGTTTTCTCCATTTTTCCATGGGAAATGGAAAACCTGGATCTCTGGTTATAACCCTTCTCACATTCCATAGCTACAGAGTTTCCTAAGAATAAAACCTGCAGCATATGCGGGCAGCGTCACAAGGCCTGCATCAGTGAGATGAACTGGAGGCTTCGGAGTTGGTGCCACCAGGGAGGCCTCAGGTTCCTGGAAAATGACCCACATTTTTGCGCAGGGGGCATGCGTGGGTGGGATGGGCATCACCTCTCCCCTAAGGGCAAGCGTGTCTTCTCTTCCAGGTTGGCTAATCTTGTATAGTGTGCTTTAAACCAGCTTTGCCGAGGGATGGGGCCACAGGAGGACATGAGGACACCTCCCAGCCAAGACAGGTGATGAGCACAAGAGGTACCCAGGTAAGTGACAAGGGTCCAGACAGGCCTAGGAATTGGGGGTGGGGGGGGGCTGCACTGACAGGAGGCCTTAAGTGCCTTTACACTAATGCTCAAAGTATGGGGAACAAACAGGAGGAACTCACCCTCCGGATAGCTAGTACAAACCCAGACATAGTAGGGCTCACTGAAACCTGGTGGGGATGCAACCCACGATTGGATGGTAAACATTAGGGGCTACAGACTATACAGGCAGGACGGAACGGGGAGGAAAGGCAGGGATGTGGTGCTGTATGTCAAAGAGCAATACATGCCCTCAACTAACAGGATGGGGTCAGAGGAGGGGCAGGCTGAAGTGCTCTGGGTCAGAATACAGGGGGGTCATGGGGAAAGAGACTTAATGGTGGGTGACTACTATTGACCACCCAACCAGGGGGAAGAGCTGGACTGGGAGTTCTCGGGTCAGCTTGCAGAGGCAGTTAAGTTGAGGGATGTAGTCATCATGGGTGATCTAAACTACTCAGACATTTCCTGGGAGGAGCAGTCAGCCAGTCTGACCACTCACATAGGTGCCTTGCTGGGATACAAGACCTCCACCTAGCCCAGGAGGTGCACAGTCCCACCAGGGGAAATGCCCTGCTGGCCTGGTGCTGGCCACAGGCGATGACCTGGTGAGGGGACTCCAGGTCCTCGACCACCTGGGCGATAGTGATCATCGCCTACTGGAATTCACCCTCCAGCACAGGGTGCCAAGGGCCTGCAGCAAGGCAGTAGCCCTTGACTTCAAGAGGGCCGATTTCAATGAGCTGAGGAGATTGGTAGGAGAGACACTGCAGTTCCAGAGAGTAGGGGAACTAGGTGTCCATGACGAGTGGTCATTCCTTGAGATGATCCTCTGAGCCCAAAGGGTGACAGTCCCAACGCGAGTCAAAGGGGGCAAGTGTGCCCAAAAGGCACCTTGGCTCACCAAAGGCATTCAGGAACATCTGAAAGCCAAATAGGAGGCATACATCCTGTGGATGGGGGGGCTATCAACAAAAAGGAGTATACCTCCATCGCTTGGGTCTGTAGGGGAGCTGTTAGGAAAGCTAAGGCAGAGATGGAACTAGGGCTAGCAACAACCCTAGAAACTATGAAACTATGAAAAAGTCCTTTTTTAAATACATAGGGAGCAAAAAGAAGGCACTAGGCCCATTAGTCTTACTTTGGTCCTGGGGAAGGTCTTTGAAAAAATTATCCAGGGGCACATATGTGAAGGACCAGTAGAGGGGATGATGCTCAAGGGCAACCAGCACGGGTTCATTAAGGGCAGATCCTGTCAGACCAACCTGGTGGCCTTCTACAATCAGGTCACAAAATCATTGGATGCAGGTGTTGCGGTGGATGTAGTCTTTCTGGACTTCAGGAAGAGCTTTGACACTGTCTCCCACCCCATTCTCATTAAAAAGCTAGGCGACTGTGGCATTGATGCCTACACAGTCAGATGGGTTGCAAATTTGCTAGGGGGCTGCACCCAGAGAGTGGTGGTTGATGGGTCATATTTGACCTGGAGGGATGTGGGCAGTGGAGTCCCCCAGGGCTTGGGCCCACACTGTTCAATTTCTTTATCAGTGGCTTGAACAAGGGGGTGAAAAGCACCCTGTTCAAATTTGCTGATGACACCAAGATTTGGGGTGAGATGGGCACACTAGAAGAGAGGGACAGGATACAACTGGACCTGGACAGGTTACAGGGGTGGGCGAATGAGAATAGGATGGAATTCAATACTGACAAGTGCAGGGTGCTGTACTTGGGCAGTAAGAACCAGCAGCATACCTACAGGCTGGGGATCTCCCTTCTTGAAAACACAGTGACAGAAAGGGATCTTGGAGTCATTGTCAATTCCAAAATGAACATGGGCCGCCAATGTGAGGACATGGTTAGGAAGGCTAACTGCACCTTGTCACGTATCCACAGATGCAGGTCCAAGGAGGTGATCCTCCCCCTCTATGTGGCACTGGTCAGGCCACAGCTGGAGTACTGTGTTCAGTTCTGGGCACCGCACTTCAGGAGGGATGAGGACAGCATTGAGAGAGTCCAGAGGAGGGTCACTCGCATGGCCAGGGGGCAGCAGGGCAGACCCTACAAGGGAAGGCTATGGGACTTGAACCTGTTCAGCCTTCACAAGAGAAGGCTGAGAGGGGACCTGGTGGCCATATATAAACTTATCAGGGGAGACCAGAGGGGATTGGGTGACACCCTGTTCCCCCGAGCACTGCCCGGAGTAACAAGGAATAACGGCCACAAGTTGACTGAGAGTCAGGCTGGACATCAGGAGGCGCTACTTCACAGTCAGGGCGGCTAGGATCTGGAACCAGCTTCCAAGGGAAGTGATGCTGGCTCCTACCTTAGGAGTCTTTAAAAGGAGGCTTGATAACTACCTAGCTGGGGTCATTTGAGCTTAAATTTAGTAGGGGTCATGAGAGCCCTGTAGTCATTCCTGCCCAGGGCAGGGGGTCGGACTAGATGATCTGCTTAGGTCCCCTCTGACCCTACTTCTGTGAAACTATGAAACTATGAAATGGTTTCAAGCTTTGCAGGTTAGACTAACCTACAAAGATGGAATCAATTTAGGCTCAGGCTTTTTGAATGTCTGTCCCTAGCCCAAGTGTAATTGGGTACTAGAAACGGTGAAATTATTTTCAGCTTTAAAAATCGCTGGATTTTATATGCTTGTAGCAGGCAGGGTAGATTTGCATCTTACAGACTAAATCAGAGATGTATATAGCAGAAGCTTTCATGAGCCCGAGCTCACTTCCTCAGGTGCTCTGAAAGGATATGCACTGAGGTGCTTGTCGCCACATTGCTGTTAACTCTCCAGGTTATGAGTCTGCTGAAGCAGAAGCAGGCTGTGAAGTGGACATAAGTAGTTCTAGTATCTTAGGCCCCCTGATTAACTAGCTAATCATGTCTGAACTGGTAGCCTGGCCACACATTCGAGCAATTAATGATGCAATAAAACAGGGAATAAGCCATGAAATATGTGTAATAATTTTGTGGCTGGTTCCCATCATGCCTTAAACTGAATGTGTGGCTGGTGTGTTCCTGGGGCTGCAAGTGCTAGTCAGCTGATTTGTGCTCCTAGGCTTAGGATCACACCAGAGCCTTTCAAGACTCCAGTGCACTTCCGAGGCTGGGAGCACTGGTCAGTGCATGAGTTCTCTGAGTCATGGGAGCACGTCAGAGACCTCTTCAGTGCGCTCCCAGCCCCCAAAGTGCATCAGCCACACATTTCATTTAAAGCATGGGATGAGGTCCAATTGTCAGGATTGGGGCTTAGATCTGATTGTGCCTTTAACTGAACATCTATTATTGGCTTTAGTAATTCATCAGAAGACATATTTGTATCTAAGAGAGAAATCTCCTAAGTGCATTTGTACACATACGTAAATAGTATTTAAACATAGTTTTAGTGTTTAAAAATGTGTATTTTCTATTGTTTTTAGTACTGTGGCACTGGGCAGCAGATAAAATTCTCCTATAAAGTATCAAGAAGAGCTCTGCTATAAGCATGATGTGCACCTTGTAGAAAATAGTTGTGTTTTCCCCTGCCCTCGATTGATGCTCATGGACTTCTTTTTGGTCTATCTTAGTGTGATATCTTGATACAAGTGTGAATAATAAATTCAGTTTGTGTACTCTGTGCCTTTGAATTGACTAGTGAATGACTGATAGCAGCCTCAAACTCACTGTCTGAGAGAAGTTCAACAGCTAAGCATGTAGGGCAGTGATTCTCAGTCAGGGAGCTGGGGCACCCTGGGGAGGTGCAGAATCCTTTGGAAAGTGCTGTGAGATGTGAGGAGATAAACAGATATAAGCAGGTCAGTACAGGCTTAGGGTGATCCCTGCTGACCACTGCCCAGCCTCCATGGCCTGGCACCTCTGCAAGGAGGTAAACATTGTAATAAATAAATTGTTTCTTTTTTTTTAAAGGAGCTGCTGCTCAATTTACCAAAGTTATGGAGAGGTGTCTGGAGTCAAATGAGTCTATAAAGGTTGAGTCTATAAAGGTTCAGAACTACTGAGGTAGGGACATGGCATATGATAGATACTGATGAAGAAGAATATCATTTTGTACAGCTTTTCCATAAAAGAAATAGCTTACTATCTTTCCTTGGATCTAGACTTCTAGAGATAATCTCTCTTCCTATGCAGCCACTCTGCTGTTTAGATATGCCAGGTTGCTATAGATAGAAGACTCAGGTCTGAACTCTGTATGCTGATGTTTTTGGAAGTGAATCCCTTTGGAAGTGGCTGCACATGTTAGTTCACAAGACTAAGATTTTGTTCATCTTCAGGATACAGGGCAAGCTCAGCTGTTTACCTAAGGTTTTGTCGGAAGTGCTGGCAAACACAAAATCTGCAACCTTGTCTCTCTACTCTCTGCTGTGTCTGTGGAAATTCATTTAGAACTACTGGTTCTTGCTGCTATTTGTATACAGTAATTCAAGTTGTGAGTCTTTGGTGATTAAGTATTTTTTTAAGATGTGGTCAGAAGTTTGAGTAGTGGCCCATATTGTATGCAGATCTATCTAAATAGGTAACTTACACTTTTACAGCTCATGGAAGAGTTTTTTAATTCAGTAACAAGTAACAGGCCTGTTAAACGCTCTAATTAAAATGTAACTACCTAACAATTTTTATCTGCCTCCACTTTATCAGTCTAAAGGGACACAGTTTCTAATCATATTCAGAAAAATGTGTGGAAGGTAGATGGTGGTGATTTCTGTAGCCTATGCATTAGCAGGTTGGTCTTTATTATAGGAAATGAAATACTATATATATATATATATATAAAAGTATATATACACACACATATATAGTATTTCATTTCCTATAATAGATATCTTCCATGCAGCACTGATGATTAGAAATGTGTGTATTTATAATATACTATATTTCCTATACTATACTATCTAGTTAAGCATATAGCCTGCATATTAACAGGGTTGGTTCTTATTATAGGAAATGAAATACAATGTATGTGTGTATACATGAGTATCTATATGTGTGTGTGTGCTCACATGTATTTACACGTATAGTTCCTATAATATATATTGGGGTGGGCAAAATATGGTTTGCGGGCTGGATCTGGCTCACAGAGGGACTTTATCTGGCCCACGGTGGGTTTCTTGGTCCTGCCTGGCCCAGGCACTGTCCAGACCATGGGGCATCCCACCACCTCCAGCTGTGCAGCAGGGCTGGGGTGGCTCTGCAGCTGGACTCCATTTCCTGGCAGCCCTGGTAGCAGTGACTCTGTCCAGCTGCCATCATCACTGGCCCTAGCCCCATGCAGACTAGCTGGGACCTGCATGAGCAGGGCCTGAGCTCCAGACTGAGTGCATAGCCCCAGCCGTGGCCCCAGCCTGCCCTGCACGGGGGGTTAGGGTCTCTGCAGTGCCTGCTCTGGACCTGCCTGCCTCAGCCATGATGAGTGGTGGCAGCAGTAGCTGGGCAGAAACTGCTGCTCAGTGTGGGAAGAAAGCAGGACTCAGCGGCAGGCATGCCTGCTTCCCCCTCGCTGCTACTGCCACCCTGGGGCTGCCCTGTGGCTCCTCCCCACCACTGCTGCTGCCACCAGCACTGCCTCCAGGCTGCCCCAGGCCCCTGCTTGGCAGGGTGGTGGTAGGGAGGAGCCACAGGGCAGCCCTGGTGCTGGCTGCAGGCAGTGGCAGGAAGACGGGCATGGCAACAGTAAGAGGGAGGTGTCCGTGCCTCCTGCCAACTCCCAGGATCAGTGGCACAGGGTCAGTCTGTGGACCTGGTCTTGCATGTCCAGATCCCACTATGAACTGACCCGCACTGGCTGCACACTGGCTCAATCCCAGGCCAGCCTCATCTGACTATGTGCTAGCCTGATCCTGGGTACCTGGGTCTGGCACACAGGGCCATGTTGTCTGGCCTGCTGGACTCTCCATGGGTCTAGAAATTTGGCAGCAGAGGAGCAGCAAGTACTTCTGCCACTTCTCTCATGCTGCCAAATTTCTAGACCCCTGGGGAACACCCTGGGCCAGGTGATATGCCCTCATGGGCTGGATCTGGCCTGTGGGCCAGGGTTGTGCACCCCTGCGTTGGTTCATTGGTTCCCAACCTTTGCTGATGTGGGGCACAAGGCTGACCAGTACTGTGCTATAGGCAGTACCTTTGTTATCCTCAGCCTGAGTTTTAACTTTTGCTTTCCTGGTTTCACAAAGAATGTCAGTGTAATGGGCAACATGTTGCCTGTGAGACATGAGTTGAAGGTCATTCTTCCAGTGCGTATTCAATTTACTATACGTACCTAATATGCATAACACTGATCTATCCATACGTATATACGTACAACGTTGTACCTCCCATCAGTATTTCACCTCTTCATTCCCTGAAGTAGTGGCAGTAGATTTCAGATGACTAAGTGTGGGTCTCTCTGACATGACTGTAAAGGCTAATAGGTCTATTCCGCACAGTAACGATACCACTTTTTGTTATTTATTGCTGTATAGTGTCTCATGCAGTTGGGCCTCAAGTCCCTCCCTAGGGACCACTGGGAAAAAACTGCAGAGAGGAGTCAAAGATTTCAGCCAGTAGGAACAGCTGCAGCAGCAGCAGCAAAATCTGGGACCTTTGGTCATTCCCAGGTCTTGCTGCAGTTCCAGCTAGACTTTCTCCACTCGGAGCGGATTGGCTATTTGCTCCACCCCCCTTTCCTCCTCTCCCCCCACCAATTTCTTCACCTCAGCTCTCTGTCTCTTCCTCTTACCCTGTCCTCCCATGCTCTCACCCCCTCATCCTACTTCTCTTCCCTTTTTTCCACTGATCTGATCCCCTCATATTGAGGTGCCTCTGGCTCCCATTCAAATATTGTGGCAGTGACACCTTGATGCCATCACATCATCTGCTTTGCTGGTGTCCTGCCACCCGCTATTTGCTGGGTTAAAATGGAAGATCTTGGGGGCAGGGACCAGCCAAGCGGGGCTGCCGTCTGGGCTGACCCTTAGGCTCTATTATAATAAACACAGTAATAAACAGAATTCAAAATCTCCTGGCAGTTTTTAAAAGATTAGGATGACTTTGTCCCATCCTCTGTACAACCAAATAATTGCAAAATGCTTGTACTGTCTTTGAGCAAAGATTTGCAGGCAAAGAAATGATCTGCATGTGTATGTGAGAGAAACAAAAATCAGCCATAACATTCACTCAAATAAACTTCATATTTATTTTTTTTCTACATTGTGTATGATCAATACTGAAAAATAGAATAATTTTCAGGCAGCTTCCTTCTTTGGCAAAGCACAACTGACTTTTTAATCATGCCCAGCATGATAACACATTTTCACACTGTTACATTCACCTTAATTTCATTCAAGAATAATGCATTTCTTTAAAAAGCTACAATTGTATAGAAGTATCTGTTTGGCCACACGTCTCTCTCGTTACAATAATTTTTTTTGTTGCTAGCAGCAGTAATGTAGGATACAAGCAAAGCAAAAAAGAACCACAGGAACGATAATGGCTTGTGGACTATGAACAGAAACTGGAGGGAAACGTAGAGTTACTTCTAAGGCACGCCCAAGCACTTTGACAGACATATAACAATGAGAAGCTGCTGGTTGCTACAATATGCGGAGCCTTGGATAGTATGGATGATGGAGATACCTAGGAGCATGCCACTAGTTGGGCACATCCTGCTTCCCGAAGGAACACTTCATTCACTTTTAGCCACCAACAGAGTGTGTACTGTTTTGACATCCGGCTGGTGACACCTGCTTTCAGGAACATTTTACTTTGTTTTTTCATTACACACTGAGTTAGGAAAATATGGTTCTTTTCATGGAATTATGACAGAAAAATGGGTCTGGAAGGCACATCAGGAGGTTACCTAGTCTAATCCCCAGCTTGGGGCAGGATCATCCCTGTCTGAACCAACCCAGACAAGCATTTGTCTAACTTACACTTTAAAACGTCCAATGCCTCATCTGTTCCAGTGGGTAACCCCCATGAGCCAGAAAGTTCTTCCTAATATCTAACTTAAGTTTCCCATGTAGCAATTGCAAGTGTATTATTTCTTGATCACCAACCATATAATCTAGTTTGGTGTGCAGCTACCACGATGATAAACATAGTAAAACATTCAGGAGAGACAGGGCTTGCTTTAGGCAAAGGGCATATTCCTTACTTCACAATTACAGATATGAGACAACCCTGATGGGTTTGGAGCGGGCAGATGTAGCTTCTGGCTCTTGTATGTTCCAAGATTACAGGTATCACATAATGATGCATTTTATATCTGGCCACTAAGAAGGTAATGATTCAAATATGAAACAGGACTATGCAGCAAACATTTCTGTGCCAGCAACCTTCAGTGCTGTAGAAGGGGTTTCTGTCTGAGCAAGATTCTATACTAAGTGCACTTTGCAAAGTTTACCAGGAGCCAGGCATTGCCATTGGAAAATGATGTGTAAGTAGGGAGAATCTATAGGGGTGAAGCTAGCAGAAACTGGTCTTCTGTTACCATTTCCACCCCACACAGCACGGGGGAGAAGAGGGTATAGGCGCAGTAGAATGAAAAGGATGGAACAAAGGTTCTGCTCCACCTGATTCTCCAGGAATTTCTTTGTTACTCCCACAACTTTTAACTGGCACTAGGTCAACTGAGCCATGACTGGCCAGCTGACAGCCCTCCCCTCTCTATTCTGAGCTTGGCAGAGATCAGGTGGAGTGGAGAAAAAAAGCCCTATGAGACATAAGGAGTGTGTACAGGATCAGTGCAAGAGAACAATGTGAACTGTAAGATGCACATAAAACATTACAAACAAGCCAGGAAGACAAACCACCTCAAAATAAATAATTGTAAAAGCAATGCCCAAGTATCGGTGGTATAAGTCACTTCTTAATGAGCATTAGGAGGAGTTTTTCTTCCTAATCTGTCACATGTTTTTATACCCTGAAAAACAACAGCACTGAGAGCAGTTACAGGGAATTTCATCTAGTTTCTGAAAACAAAACTTAATCATATTAATACCAAGCTTATTTGAGAGCTAGGTTTAGAGGCAAAGAATTGTGGGGATTAATGATGAGGTAGTTGCTGTTAGGGTGAAGGAAGGACAAAGACAGGATAAATACATCTGGATGCTAAACCAGTGTGCCTGGTGGTATTCAGAGGTGAAGAAAATAAATAACCAGTTTGTAATACTTTCACTTATGTTTTCCAAATACCTCTACATCATTTAGATTTGAAAAATACATACCGATCATTACACTTCCACTGAGATTTATCAACTACAACATGTCAGTTTTTTATCCCAGATAATTACCATCACAGCAGTCAATGTACATGCACCTTGATAAACTGAAGCTCAAGACATGACAGTATCCTGCAACATACTTCTCATGAATGTAGAGTCACTGTCAAACATGCACTCATAGTTTCATAGTTTCCTAGTTTCTAGGGTCGGAAGGGACCTGAGCAGATCATCAAGTCCGACCCCCTGCCATGGCAGGAAAGAGTACTGGGGTCAAACGACCCCAGCAAGGTGTACATCTAGCCTCCTCTTAAAGACATGGCTAACTAAATGTTCAGTCAATTGGTGACTATTAACTCAGTAGTGGGCTTTTGTCTTTATCAAAATATCATTTACTAATTTTTGAAAAGATCCATTGTCCAGGCCTGCTTATATGATCTATACATGAAGGCTCTTTCTGAGCACTAGAATGTTTTGCTTCAAGTTCTCAGACTTCAGTGCCTACACTCGGGTACTGAAATCCATATTTAGACACCTAAAAAAATGGGCTGATTTTCTGAAACAGTAACTTAGCTTGGAGTTTTAAAGTTGAACTCATGCTCTCAAGCATCAGGTGGTTTCAATATTATAAAACCGGTAAATATATTTCAATTAAAAATCAACCCTTCTCCTAAAAGTTTAACTTTCCCAGTGCTGAACCTGTATGGGCAGGATGAGAAAGAACTAAAATAATAACTTCAGCTGTCACAGGCAGCACCTATGCCCTGTCTCTGAATGGCTGAGGTTATCTGAACCACAGTTAGCTAGGTGAGTTTAGGGGAAACTAAAACCTGATTGTGTAAAACAAGACAGTGAAAAATAAATACTGTTACATTTGTTCTTGTAAGGCATCTGTTACCCCAAAGTAAAACTTGTCTAAAATTTATTTTACATGCATCTAAATATAAAAAGTGAGATTTTTTTTGTGGAGAAAAGAGAGAAATTGAGGTAGAGGGTGGGAAAGGTGAGGAGAAGATTATCAGAAATACCATACTGGGCATGTCTACACATGCGCTTTACTGTGCAATAGACTAATTTACTGTGCAGTAAAGCATCACCATCTACACATGTGGCAATTGGGCCGGTGTAGATTAATTTATAGCATTGTTGGATAGTTCCATCAGACACAAGTACTATCGAACAGCAGAGTAAATTACTGCACTTAAACCTATGTGTAGGTGACGTCAGAATCATTTACTCCAGCTCAAATTGCGCTTAAGTTTAATTGGGTGCATTCATTGCACATGTAGATGCACCCACTGTGTATTAATGTTCCATTTATAAATAGTTTGTAAAGGATTAAAGAATAATGAACACTTTAAATACATGGCTAACTAAACGTTCAGTCAATAGGTGACTATTAACCATCTCTAATACCTTCCATAGCTGTGACAATAACATCTGCTATACCTGCTTGTAACTTACTTATTGCTCCTTATTAATCATGTATTAGCTCTTTGCAAACTATTCTGAAATGAAAACTGAACACACAGCTTGACCTGTAATTTTTCAAGACGTCTTCAAGATGGTTTGTTAATGCAGCACATCACTGTTGGTGCTCCCAAGAGATGGCAAGGGGCACTGCAGAACAAATTAATACTTGTGTTCTAAGAGAAGGGGACAGCAAGCTGTTTCAGTTTGAGTTTACAAATAAAGTCAGCAAGAAAGATCAACTGAACTTCTGCTTTACTATAAAAGCTTTCTACTATAGACCCAAGAAGAGTGTGTTCTGCCTGACCCCATATTTTCTGTGTCTACCCCACCAGAAAAAGGTAACCTCTCAGCATATCTTCCAGGCATCAGCCTCATCTGTATCTCCCAAGCTATAACATGGTGGATTTGATTTCCTCAGGCCCTTTCCAAAGATTCTCGTGCATCTGAGTTTTGAAGTTACGCTTGTTGAATTCCTCTGTGATTTCCAGGAAGGACTTCCCTTTTGTCTCAGGAAGGAAAAAGCCAACATAGAGAGCAGTGCAGACACAAACCATGAAGAATGGAAGGTAGCAGAAATGTGCAAGGCCTTCCTAAATGGAGAGAAAAATATTTAAAAGGGTTGGAAATGTATCAAAATATGAGCCCATGAACCACTAGAAATCCACTCCTATGGATAGTAGCATCCATCATAAAATATTTCTGTGCTGACCTGAAGGATCTTATGTGCATGGATTACAGCAACTCAAGGGTAAAGTTTGGGAGACTTGGCTTGGTGAGGGGAGTATTACATGATTTCAGCTTTTCCTGCCTTTCTCACTACATATAACTCTACAGGAAAATGGGAAAACAACTGCTCTTGTTAGGATTCCCTGTAGGAAACACTGCAAGGGTGCTAGCTGTGACGAGCTCACAGTATATTCAGTTCTATCCTCTCCCAGCAGGATTCACAAACGGGAATGTTGTGAGAGTTAAAAGGGACCTAGTAGCTTCTGTAGTCCCAACCATTCCAACCTGATGACAGAATGGGAATGCTGGCTGTCCGGCCTCAAAACTGTTCCAATCCCAGCCTCTTGTACTGTAGTATTCTCTATAGGGAACAGGTTGGACACTTGGCTACAAGAGAGCTCACAGTTACTCTAGTTATAGCTTATAGCCAAACAGCTGCAGAACTGGCTATCCTGGTGAGATATTGCAGGCCTAGTCATTTCCACTAAGCATCAGTGTAGGCTGTAGCAGTACAAGAGCACTTGTTCATGGACTGAAAAACTGTAGATGTATATATAATCTTCCAAACTTACCACAATGAATGGAAAGGCCATTCCAATCAGAAAGAGATTGAACCAGAGTAGAGAGCCACAGATCATGTAAGCAGCTGGGCGGGACATTTGATCAAAGATCTCGGTTGGCAAAATTCCTGTCACACCAGCTAGGAAAGGAATTTGCAAGAAAATTTATATCATCATCAATAGAGGGTGGAAATGAACAGGACCTATGCTAACAGCCCAAAGAAGTGTGGGGTATACAAATAGGACAGGGACCATTTATAATGGATTTTTTTTGTAAATTCTTACTAGTCAGCACAGCCAGAGCAAGTGCTAATGTGGCTTAAGTTGCAGCAGGAAGTTTTAGGTTAAATGTGCATTCAGATGCGCACACACATGCATAAAAATGGTTGGGTTCTGAGAAAATTACAAGTCAATCAGTTAAAATAAATAGGAAAAGTTTTACATATATATGCAAAGACTTTACAAAATAACAGAGCTCAAGAACCTTTAAGACTGCAAACAGAAGGAATGAAGTATTAGGAACACTTGCTTAATGAACTGATTTGCACATCTAAGAGCTGTTGTCTATTGTCACAAATTAGACAAAATGTCACTCTTTTTGCTCTGAACCTATAAAGCAAAGGAACTTTTCTTTCAGGAGTGACCCAAGCTTTGTGTTTATGTTTCTTGTTTTCTTTCAAACATGACTGCTTGGTCAGCCCCACAAAGACAGCTGCAAGAGGAGAGCAGGGGTGGGCAATTATTTTGGCTGGCGGGCCACTTAACAAGTTTTGGTAATCCGTAGAGGGCTACACACACAAAATCTTTCAAAAGATACCATTTAAACAAATTATAGATAAAAGCAAATCATATATTCAAAATCAAACATCTACTATAACATATTTTAATTTTATTTCAAAAATATTTTTGTCCTGATATACGTTTTTTTGAGTAGTGTATATAGAGATAATAGCATAATAGCTCAAAATAAAATCTTACTTTTATATTGTGGGGGTCAGAGGGTGTAGGTGGGGGTGGGTGTGCGAGTGGTGGGGTATGTGTGGATGTGTGTGTGGGCAGGGTGGGGACAGTGTGCACACGTGTGTGCTGGGACTGCTTTGTGTTAGGTCCTGGGAGCTGGCTGGAGGTAGAGGGAGGGAGGGGGCTCATGCAGCAGAACTTGCCTGAGTGATGTGGCGCAGGTGCAGTCTACTCCCCCAGATCTAGCCTGTGGATACCCTCACAGCACTCCACATGGAGCCGAGCCCTGCCCGCTCCTGTCTGGGGCAGCCCATGCCACACTCCTGCCTACACCCACCCTGGCCCCAGCCCCAGCCCTGACTCTGACTTTGGCCAGCATATACAGCTTCCTGGCAAGGCTGCCTCCCACCCACTTGTCCGTCTGCAGATGGCTGCTCATGCCGGGTGAATAGAGTGGGTGGAAGGTGGCTGGGAGCTGGAGCTGAAGGCCATGTGCTGGGGCAGGAGCTGCCTGGCTTCAGATTCCCCCCCACTGCTTCCTCACCCTACCTGCTGTCCATAGCAGTGCAGCTAGACAGGAGGAGGAACCACTGGATATTGGCAGGGGGGGTGGGGGGGAGGAAGCTGAGCAGTACCCAAGGAAGAGCTGGAGCCCTGTGTGCTGGGGCAAGAGCCACCTGGCTTCAGCTCCCCTTGCCCCCACTGCTTCTCCACCCTATCTGTTGCCCATAGCAGCGCAGCAAGGACAGGAGGATCCATGGGTGGTGGAGGGAACAAAGCAGTACCCAAGATGGCTGCAGCCACACTAGGAGCAGCCTCGTTAGAAAGTTGTGCATAATGGTCAAAGCTGGGACCAACCTGCAGGTGTGTGCAGAAGCATGGTACAGGCTGCCCCATGTGGGAGCAGGTGGAGCTCGGCCCCCGAGGGCAGCCATAGGCCAGATTAAATCAATTGGATGCCAGCCCATGGGCCAGATCTACTGTATTTCATGGTGTATACATTGAGGTTTGAAGCCCAATTTTTAACTCTTAAAATTCAACCATGACTTATACACCATATTACCATCCCCTGCAAGTGGTGCAGGGCTCAGTGTTAGGTTGATGTGACCCAGGCAGTGCTGCTCACAGGGGATGGGGCCACACCAGCTGAGCACTGAGCCTGACGCCTCTTGCAGGGGATGGGGATGAGGACAGGGCCAGGCTTGGCGCTCAGCTGGTGTAGCCCCATCTCCTGTGAGTGGCGCTGCCTGGGCCACCCCAGCAGAGTGCTGAGCCCATCCCCATCCCCTGTGAGCAGTGCTGGGCTCAGTGCTCAATTGGCAGGGCCGGGTTCAGTGCTCGGCTGGTGGGGCCGGGTTCAGTGCTCAGCAGCGCCACTTGCAACAGACAGGGCCAGACGCCACACTTGGTTGGTGTGGCTCCATCCCCTGCAAGCCCAGCATTGCTCACCGGGGACGAGGCTGTGCCAGTTGAGCACTGAGCCTGGTGCTGCTTGCAGGGGCCGGGGTTCTCAGCTGGGGATGCACCACTTGCTGGGGCTGGGGCCTGGCTCAGCTGGAGCATCCCCATACCTCCCAAGTGGTGTTGGGCTTTCAGGGGACAGGGCTGCACCAGCTGAGTGCTGAGCCTGGCTCTGTCTGCTGTGAGCAGTGCTGCCGAGCACTGAGTCTGGCCCTGGCAGCTGACTGCCGTTTTCCTACAGCTGAATGCCGCTTGCATTCACTGGCACACATGCACCCAAGGATTCCTCCAAATAGCCATTTCAGATGTTAAGAACTGCCTGTCCATACAAACCCCTGGACGTTGGCATGACCTGCCAGGAAAACGGGGCTGGGCTTGGTGCTTGGCAGTGCCACTTGTAGCAAATGGGGCTGGGCCTGGCGCTCGACTGATGCAGCTCAGGCAGCACTGCTTGCAGGAGATGGGGCAAAGCCCAGCTCCGACTTATATACCATGCCTAGAATCCTACCTTTCCTAACTTTTAAATGAGGGTTGACCTATACACCGTGTCATCCTATACACTATTAAATACAGTGATCATCAGTTGGTGGGCTGGATCTGGCCCACAGGCCATATTTTACCTACCCCTGCTATAGAGAGCAGCACAGATTGCCCCTACATATTTCTGAGACATAACCACAGTTGCACACAAGCACTGCAGCTGATGAAAATATAGGTAACTGTAGTAAAAAAATTAACATTTTTGGTATTATTCAAATGTCACCTGGTCAAATGCAATCTTCACTTGCAGCACCTTGCCAGCACTTGTCTTGGAGCCCTGCAGTTTCAAAACGTCAGTGAAAACCCTCATGAAACTTACCTGGCCCAATTCCAAAGCTCAGGATATAGGCAAAAATGCAGGCCATGCTGAGGTAGGGCATCCAGCTAATTTGACTCTACAGACAGAGTGGAGAAGGAAATAGAAGTTAAGACACTTAGAGTTACTTGCTCTCATTTAATACCCCATCAGTATAAAAGGCAAAACAGACTCTACTTGACTTAAATAATGAAAAAGAATTTCTTACCTGCTGGGATAAAGCAACCATAAAAACGATGGCCCAGACTGCCATGAAGCTATATCCTCCCAGGATCAGCAACTTCCGGCCAGCATGCTCAATAATCATATTCTGCACAAAGCAACACAAGATGTTCAAAAGCTATTTATGCCTTTCCCCTCCAGCCCCTACTTCCAAGGCACTGCTTAGTTAGGTGGCATTGACTGAGATTCAGGCAGGCTGGGTGATGAGGGAGTGTCAACTGTGTGTCACAACTGCAATCTAAACCTGTCTCTAAAAAAACCTTGTGTACTTGCTTGAGAAATGTAAGTGCCCTATATTTTGTCGGAAATTGAACGTAATTTGGGACTATAAAGTAGCAAGCCAAGCAGACAGTGCTTCTCTCTTGCTGTCTACTGTATGGGAAAAGAAATTGAATGAAACCTACATATTAGTATGAGTCTGAGTACCCTAGGGAAATGCTCCAGTGACTGTAACAATAGGTTACCACAAGGTGGTGGTGTTTCAGAACATGAAACATTTTTGAATATCTAATATGTCACCATGCTGCCTCATGAAGGATATCACAGGTACAAAGACTACAGGTCACAACTTTAAAATAAGAGCCAGCAACCCAACAGAACTGAACTGGAGGGCTTGAAATGCAGCCATCACTGGGACCTGGAAGGGGGAAGGAGGGGATTCTTTTCTATATAGACCTTATGTTATTGTTTTCTCCAGTCACTGACTTTAAAAGTGCTATTCCAGATCAGCCAAAGGGTTTACCCACAGCAACTGCCAAGATACAAGAAAAATATACTCCCTTTTAAAATATTCAGACATTATACTATCTGGCCATGATCACTGATTGATTAAATGACTGATGCATCAGTAATTTGCAAGGTAACCATCGGAATGAAAAGCACTTTAAGTAGGAAAATTGTTATTAGTTGGATGTTGTATGTCAGTGGAGTTTTCCTGTGTTAGTAAAATGCATCTATTTTGTGCATAGGTACTCACACAAGTAACAGCTGTGATGAGTTCGCAGCACCCAGTGCCGATGATGGCATACTGGATTTTGTCATATGGAATTCCAGCCTCCCGGAACACATAGCCAGCATAAAAATACATCTGAGAAGGAAAGAGAGGAAGAGAGAAATGTAACAAAGGATACTGCAGAATTGCCAGCCAGTGCCTTTCCTGCTCCCTCAGATACAACTTTCTGCTCTCCAGTTTGGGGTTACACATCCACATAGAGAATTGGCTCCTTTCCCATAAAGCACTAAAAAAAGCGTCCATTTGCAGTCCATCCCCTAATACGTAGGAGTGTCTCAGCAACTGAGCACCTGGTATTTCATTCAGATATTGGTGCCAAAATGCTCTTTGAAAGAATTGGCATCAAGGGAGTCACAGTATTTTAACCGTGGAGCAAAGAGAAGTCCATTAATTATAGAGCTCTCCCCAGAATAAAATGACCATAATAAGATAAGACAGGGGCCTCTCAGAAGCAGCATAAGGCACTTCTTACTCCTCCAGACTGCTAAATGGAAACTTGTCAGCTGATGCATTTATATTTGCATTCTCTTGTTTCCTGCAGTTCATTAGGCATCTCTGTCTTGTGTCTCCTCAACCATTCTTTTCCACCAAAGCTGGATGCTAAGCAATATGAGCAAGGACCTAGCTCTTGTACCCACCTCTCTTTATAATCCATCATTTTACCTGTCTTAATTTAACTCCTCCACTGATTTCTCCCTCCTTGATACAGTCACACCTTTCTGGGGCAATCAGAAGAAGAACACTGTAAGTGAGGCAGGCTTATTTGCCTTCTCCTGCTGAACATGGGCCAATCTGCCCAAGAAGTGACAAGGTGTGGCTTGCACTTTGGTCTCATTTCTAGTACTGTTCGTGAAACAGTTCCCACAATGCTTACCGAGTCATTCCCACAGAGCTGCATGGCACTGCTCAGCACAATGATACTGATCAGCTGCAACCTGACGGCCGGATTCTGGAACAGCTCCCATGGCTTCTTTGCCCTCTGACCTTTGATGGCAGCCTGTTCTGCTAGTATCTCTTCTATCTCGCTACTCAGGTCAGCACTGCCCCTCAGTTTCCGCAATGCTGGAAGAACAAAACGTGCCAAATTTAGCCTGCAGAAAAGGGGATTAAATAGGGACATGGCAGCAGTCTTCAAATATATGAAAGGCTACCATGAAGAGGGAGAACAGCTCTCAAAAACGGCAACCCAAGTCTGCACACAAAAAAGTATGGATAAAAGTGTATCCTCATTTGCATGTACAATTACCAAACCAAACCAAACCAACAAGATAGCTGAAGTAAGTGCCAATGCAACCATGACTGCATGTCTGTACATGCATTCTGGGCATGTAAAAGTGTTTTTAAGAAATATTACCCTACCTGGTTAGCAATTAATACATCATAAGATAAATGCCATAGACATTGCATTGGGCTAAAGTATTTGGTACTTATTAAAGGAAACCAGCAGTGCTACAGGATGGAATAAAACACACGGATTAAATATTCTGGAATTACCTCTTGCATCTTGTAAAAAATGTACAATCAAACTGACATCAGGTTGTCTGCACTCTCTGTAAATCTTGTCTTCTGAATGGGAGGTTGACATTGTCACTTTACACTCACCAGAGATGCAGGATTCCTTGTCCCCTCGGTCAATCAAGAGGTACCTTGGGCTTTCAGGGAGCCAGGGCAGAGTTACCATCTGGATCAGAGCAGGCACCACATTGCTAGCTAAAAGAAGAGGCCAGCTCTCCTTTCCTCCTAATAGTTCACTGGAGAAAAGTAAAATATAACAAGAATAAAGTAAATGGATAAAATATTTCATAAGACAATATTCATTGAGTGAAATACAGCATCTCATGTTGGCTGAGGAAACTGGTGGCAACATAACCCGCTGGGAAGAACTGGGTTTGAGAATCAGTGTGGTCTTGGATCAGTGGTGATATCAATGATGGCATAAGTTACAAGTTGGGAGGGAGTGGCATGTACCTCTTATCACTTTGATATTCAGCAGGTGTGAACAAGAAATACTTTCTATGTGGAAAAGGTGGGACTGTAGCAGGAAAAGCATTTAACACAAAGGTGTGAACTAAAACAACCTCTTCTCATAAGGTAACTTAACTTGCCTCCCCCTTGTCCTTATGATTTAAAGCCAAATCCAGACCTACATAAGCAGGCCTGTCTCTCACTTAAGTAAATGTTATGGTTGGGGCTGGTCCACAAAGAATACCACACTGATGTAGGTCACACTTGTGTATGCCCACCAAATGCCAAATCAGTGAAAGTAGTGTTGCCATTTAGACCCACACCATGTAACTAACTTATGTCAATATTGACCCCACTGCTGAATTTGCCACCTAAAAAAAAAAGGGACCATACCCACCCTGTTAATGTGCACATCTGAACAAGACAGAAAGAGACTTAATGAAACAGAACCATGCCTGGTACCTATACATTACCTAATTCCAAAAACCTGTCCTAGCACCAACCCCAAGGCTGTAAATGATGCAGAAGTTAATGCCACTGCTCCTCTGAGCTTCTTGGGAGCACTTTCCCCCAGGTACATGGGCTGAATGTTCATGCTCACACCTGGTGGACAATATAGACCAACACTGATTTTAGCTTATTTCCAAATGTCAAGAGAGAAAAAGAAAAATTAAAACAGCTCTGAGTTGAAGGAGTTAGCTATATCCCTTCTGCAGATTACACTGTATGTGCTTATTTTGTTTACTGAGGCCCATAATATGTTTCACTTCCTTATACCTTATGTCAGTTTATGTAAATATATATTTGAATATTGTAATCAAGTTCCTAAATAAAATGCATAGATAATTATTATTAAAGGTGCATTGATTTTTCACTCTTGGTGCTCATGAATTTTAGAGACGAAATAGCAGTGGCTAAAGTGAGGAAGCTCAACAGCTTACACTTGAGTTATGCAAAACTGTACATGCATGTATTTATGTATTTGGCAACTACAAATTTTGTACATGCTGTATACTCTTTGCACATAGGCAGCGTCATGAGTCTGCACATACAAAAACTGGAAAGCAGGTCTACAAATCTGAATTTTTAATTTGTGCATATATAGATCATAAAATTGTTCAAGTGCATCAACTCTTCTATGGTCACAAAGTTTTCATTAACTAATTCAAGACTGGGAATATGTAAACCAGTTTTAATGGTAAACAGAGCAATAAAGAAGTGTCAAGTGCCACAACTTTTATCACTAAAATTTCCTTTTCTGAAAGGTATTTCATATCTTGTGTGTGTGCGCGTCTGGGGTGGCCTATTCAGATATTGGATACAGTTACTGGCACAGAATGCTGCATATTACATTTCAGAAACATATTGCTATATGGAACAAGTCAAATATTGTTTGGTGATTTATGTTTATTTAGTTTCTTAATGGAAAACGGGCATGGAAAAACAGCTCGTACAATCTGTTTTGGTGCCAAGGGTCTTAATTTTCAAAGCCAAACTCAAAATCAAGGACTGCAGACCTAGACAAGAGAGAGACTGGCGCTAGAATTTTTAATAACACAAACATTTATTTTTATAGTGCTCATCACTGTAGCATCCCCCAGTGAAACCATACCTGCATTGATCCCAGTAAAAAATCTGCTGAGCATGATCATTTCAAAAGATTTTGCCATTCGACTGAATCCTGACAAGATTGCAGCTATAATCACAAAAACATTGTTCACCAACAAGGATGTCTTCCTTCAGAGAGAATAAAAACACAATAAAAGGCTCAGATTGTATCTGGTCTAGTTATCAGATTCAGTGCTTATATCTAATGGGTCCAATTTTCCAAACCCAAATGCTTATGTTAGGATGGGGCTTTCTATCTTATAGCATTCCAGTTGGCACTTTGGGATCCAAACACTCATTTTAGATGCCCACTGACTTAATATATTAATTATGAAACCTGGGTTTTGTGTTGGAAGGGTCCAATACAGCTAGAGTCCCATCCACTGGAAACGACAATAGCTGAGGATGGCTGTGGCGGGGCACCAGTGGGTTGCTTACCACTTAGGGATGTTGCAAGTGGGTGGGAGTTGTTGACTGAGCAGCAGGGAAAGCCGTCCCCAGGAACCATTTTAAGGGGGAAGGCCGGTGTCAGAGCACTCCCAGTGCTCTGCCACTTGAAAAACTGGGCCAGGCAGCAGGCAGGTGCAGCCCAGTCCTGACAAGTGGCCATCTTAACCCTCAGGCCAGTAGGGCTGGGGGCAGCAGTTGCTGCCTGGTGCTGAGGAAGAAATATTTCCTGGTGGAGCCGTTGCTCCGGAGACAACACGGAGGTAAGGGCAGGAGCTATGGGGTGGCTTGGAAACTCCTGGTCCTGGGTATGACTTGAAACTGCACCTTGCCAGGGACAGGTGGTTTGGTGGGGCTCCTAGTGGCACAGGAGCCCTCAAGAAATGCCAGACTAGTTACTGCCTCAGTGAAAGGTGAGGAGGGGCGCCTTAATAACCCCAGCACCCGCTTTAGGGCGGGTAATGCAACATCAGAGGGAGTTAGAGCCAGGCATGCCCATGTGGGGGGACCTGAGCCTGGTGTGGTGCAACACTGCAGAGTGGGTAGTGGGGCCAGGCATGGCTGCAGCCACCTGAGCCCAGGGAGGTG